CAGAGGTTGATGATGAAGAGGGGAAGAGTGCTCAGGGTGATGATTTGGAAAAAATGGTTGTACCAAAACCTACCGCTAAAGATAAAGAAGCAGACAGTGATAGTGATGATGATGCTTTTGATAACAAATCTGTGTAAGTAAACAGTTAATTACTGTTTAAAAAACAAGCAGGATTGTGCGAATTTTTTGGACAGCTTCAAAATCTCTGATAGATCTACTCATTCTTGCACTAACATTTAGATTGGGGGTTCTTTTGGTCTAAAAAATTGGATGTAAAGTTTAGCCCTGTCTTTATCAGATATTAAGACTCTCATTAAACATCAATTTCTTTTGTTTTTCCTTAAAGAATTGTTAATGAGTTTTTGAAGGCCAGGTCAAACAATCACGATAGTAAGTTAATGATGGAGATGATACAAGGCCTTCATTAGAAACTGGCAACCGGGCTCTTGTAGCTGGTTACTGCATTAAGATCTGCTTGCTACTCTACATTGTAACTTTGAAAATGAGTCAAACAATATATCAAATATACAGCGTAGGAGGATTTGCCAGATAAATGACCAGCTACTTTCCCTGAGAGACCAGCCAGCCCTGTGACAGAGATTCAGCTGACCGAAAAACTATCATTGACTATCACTGTTGTGACAAATTGAAATAATAATTAGTTCAAAGTCCTTGATAGGCGAGGCCAAATGGTCATATCATCAGCTATCATGACCATTTTACCCAGGCTATTTAACAATAATTCCTTGGGCTCTGAGTCAATAACCCATGACGCCGAAGGCCAAATGGGCTACTGACTCAGAGGCCATGAGGGCAAGAGGAATAATTGTTTTAGTAAAATCCAAATAGTTGGTCAAAAATATCGAGAATAAAAAAACTTTAGCTACTTATTTAGCTAGACTTTAATCCTTTTTTGCCGCCAAAAAACCGGCGCTTTTTGCTACTAGTGGGCTATAACATATAGCCTAGTAGTAGCTCAACCAATCAGAATACAGTATTGATAATAGACCACTAGTTGGATTTTACTAATTAACGAAATAAGTACTGCGTGAAATTAAGCACCAACTTTGAAGTCATGGTTCATTAATGATGAATTATTATTTACATAGCATTGGATCCTTTTTTTCAGGTTTGTATCAGACTTTGACCTCATGATTCAGAAAAAGAAAGAGGTAACGTGTATTAATAATGCCTTCTGTAATAATTTTATTGAGAGATAAGAAAATTTATGTTTGATCAATTTTTGATGTGTACTAAAATCTTTATTTGCCTGTTGCAGATGAACAAAACAATGAGAAGAAAACGAAAGGTAAGAGCATGATTGAGTGGGATCATTAACCCGTTGAGTCCCAAGAGTGACCAACATCAATTTTCTCCAAACAATATCAATACACAATCAGGAGAAAAGATTACGAGAATTAATAACATGATCACCAAAGGAAAAATGTTTTGATTCCTCTCACTCTGTTACTAAGAAATATAATTATAGAGATCAGTCTGGAGAACTTGGTATGAATATTGAGGTTTAAGCGGCATCTGGAAGTGTATTCTCAGGATGTGGGATTTGACCGAAATAGAGAGCGGGAAACAGAAAAAATCTTGATGGGATCAGTGATTTGACCACTACCCGGGAAGTGTGTATGCTAAAATCTGGGTAGGGCTGTGTTATTGATAATGGTAATAGGGCTGAGTGGAGTCCAATTCAGTCTGTAATCATACGAATGATTAACAAAAGCAGACAACCACGTGAAGGGAGTCCAACTTGTTTAATCACAAGTATTATTACAGACAGAATTGGATGAGACAAAGTTCTGTTACCGATACATCACAACTATAACAAAATTTGTGATGTTCTAGCCTTCTTCGAAATAAAAACACAAGAAATTCCAAGAGTTTTCTTGCTAGCGGTGGAAAAAAAAGGCCATTTAAGTAAGCTTGAGCAATGGTGCGTACTGTCAAATTACACAGGCATGACTTGTACTCTCCTATTACACTGTGCTATTAGTGTTGAAATCAGGACAGTTGGAAGCCAATCAGATTTGAGAATTTTGTTATAGTTATGATTAAGATAGAAAACTGTATTTGGATTAGAGATGACAGAAGTTGAGGATGCGGGATTCTCTTAAAAAACGAGTAGGAAGCCGGATCAGATATTGCATTATTTTGATGTTTTAACCTATATGTAATAGAAATAATGCTGCATATCTTTAACTACAAAATGGCTCTTTCAGAATGTTGACATCATCAGTGATAGTGATGATGCTATAGCAGGTATGATTACACAGATGAAAGAAGCTGTAGAGGTAAAAATGGACTCCCTTAATATTTTTGTGTGGTTATGCAGTCAATAATTCACTCATTTGATGTTAAAGCGCTGAGTCACCCTGGGTTATCTTTACCCAGCTTTGAATAACTTGGCCCAG